ACCTGGAAGATGACATGGATAGTCCCGAAAGGAAGCGGAAGGAAGGGGAAAGCATCTCCCTTCCACCATTTGGCTTGGCAACTTACAAGATGCAAGGAAACGTATGGAATTCTGGAAGGGATCAAGAAAGGCTGGTGTCGCTTTTAAGCGTTGCGGATTCATGGCTAAAACAACTTAGAGTCCAGCACCATGATTTCAACTATTTCACCGGGACTCGACGTGGCTAAGACCTTTTTAAGTAACTTGCAGTATAGCTTTGGGAACCCCATGGAAGTGTCTGATCACTAATTTACCAAAAAAAAGAAAAAAAACATTTGGTTTTTAATAATTTTTTGGTTTTGTAGTTGGGAGTTAACTTGAGGATTGTGATCGGCACTTGTTATCAGAAACACCACCTTTAGACGGTTCACTCTGAACATATGTAAAGAAATGGGGTTGTGGTCTGAAGAGTTTGCAGAAAGTGGACTGATTTGAAACTCTTTTGGCTTGTATGATATTACTCTTGACCATAATTATAGAAATGACCCCCCACAGTTTCATCAATTCTCACTCTCCCTCAGTTGTTGTCTTTGGTTTGCTCTAGTGGGCGTTCCATTAGGACTTGATAATGATTCTAAATTGGTTTTGGGAACAAGTACTTAGCACAGTTGACAAAACGAATGTGAACATAAACTTGTTGGTACAACCAAAAGCGTATGACAAATGCAGTTTTGTATTGTTGGGTGCAATCAAATTGTTTCCCACTTGGAAAATAGAGAATGAGAAGAGAAAACCGGAAACCCTGAATTTCAACATCATCTTATCCATCACCAGACACATAACATCAGATCAGACATCGTCTTAAAAAGGGCCAACCACTAACAAAGTGTTATTAGTTACCAGACAACCAAGTAAAAAGAAGAGCTTGAGAGTGCAACATGTAACCAACATCACCTGCACCACACATGGGCCTTTCGGCTCTTATGTTGGCTCCACTCATTCATACTGCACGTACGATATTTATGTTCATAAGCTATTCAGATTTAGGTAAGAAAAAAGTGTGTAGTTTGGACTTGAGTTTTCAATTAAGAAAGATTTAAATTAAGATAAAATTTGTACAATCCAAGTGATATCAAGTGATTAGATGATTGTTATCTATAAAGATTTTAGATTCAAACATGATATTTACAGGATGTTAAATTGTTTGAGAATTTTTCAAACACATATACTCTATATTACTCTAAATTAATAAAAAAAATGGACTGGATGAGCTGGAGTTAGATTAGTACAACACTTTGATTATACTTGGCAGTCATCAAGAGATGAAGTTGAACACCCAGTCAAGGTTTGGACAGGTGGGAAAGAAGAGAGGCCAGGTGTTCAATTTGAGGGATGCAGTCGTATGTTCATGATTGGGTGAAATTCCTTTTCCAAGATTGAATTTTCAGTTTCTAGTGGAAAGCATAATTTATGTTTGGATAAGTAGCATCCCTCTTTGCAAATTTTTTTTGGACCTAAATATTAATTATAACTGGTAATAAATAAAAATTATATATGATCTTTAGTAATTATGTGTCGGTTTTATGGTTTATGTTTAAAATTTAAAATTTTATAAATTATATTATTATTTAAAATTTAGATTTGGATTTTTTATCTATATTTTATATAAAACTAAAATATTATTTTCATATAAGTATAAATATAAATATTAGTTAAAATTAGATTTATATAAGAAATTGATTATTATCCTATTTAGTTGAACTTTTATTTGAAAAATCACGATTAAATAAATTTATGAAACTAAAAACACCTTAATTATAGATAATGGAAGTTACCATACTAATGTGATAATTTTGTGTTAGTCATTAAACATGTTAACGTGACAAGAATTAATTAGTTGAAATCTATCGTTTTAGAAAATCTTTTAAGAATAAAAATTCTAATAAAATAAAAACTAATTATATATTGTTTGATGACTAACACATAATTATCAAATAAAAGATATAAAAAATTCATTGAAAGTTACAATAAAATAAAAAGTCTAAAATTGACAAAATAGTATGCATACAAAAATATTTTTATTGTAAATAATTATATAAACTGTAATAATTCTAAAAAAACAAAATCGTTGACTGAATGAAACTTAAAGGTTATATTTGACCCAAAAATGAAAATTGGGCCATATTTTAAGAGCCAAAGTATTTATTAAACATTTTTTTTGAATTAATCACTGATATTTAATCTATTGACCGACTAATCCAAATCATGTAATCCAAATCAGGTACTTCAGAGCAAGGGTGGCCCTCCCAATCCAATTTGCTCCATTCGCAAACTCCAAGATTTGAACCCCTTACCTTGCTTAATAGATCTAGTGCCTCATCCCACTAGATCAACTGATTGTTGGTTATTAAACATTTGAAAATCATTACAAGTTTAGAGATTGAATGGAATTATTAAAGTTTGAATCTTGAACTTCAATATCAAATATATAATAAATTTAGCATTTCAATTATGACTACGATGGTAATACTTTAGATCTTATTCTATTTGAAGAAATAAATAATCTTATCAATTATATAAACATTTATTATTCTTTTTATCATGAATTATATAAACATTTCTATTAAAAAAAATAATTATATAAACATTCCGAGAGGAAAAATGAAAACCTCCCACTTGTTCTGGTTGTTGGGCCAGGCTTCATATGAACATGATTTATTGTTTTTTTAACGTACATGATTTGTTCTTTGTTTAAACGGAATCAAAATTATATATATATATATATATATATATATATTATTAACCAAAATTAATATATAATTTTAATATTTATTCAGATAAAACAAATAAACAAAATAAGCTTATACACGTTCACGGAATATTTTATTAGGCTTTCGAATTGAAAATTGGGCCCATGATCATTACTGTACAACAAAGAGAAACTGTTGTTTCAAATTGGATCTAACAGTGTTTGGATTTTTTTTTGAATTAATCACTTGTATCCGATCTATTGACCGACTAATCCAGATCAGGTATTGTAGAGGCAATGTTGACCCTCCCAACACAGTTTGCTCCATTCGTAAACATCAGGATTCGAACTCCTAACCTTGCTTAAGGGACTTAGTGCCTCATCCCACTAGACCAATTGGTTATTGGTTAGATATAATTTTTTAATCTTGCAATTTAACTGAATTATTAATTAAATGTATAAAAAATGTAATTAACATTTCTCTTTTGAATTTGAACTAATAATGGTAGCTAACCTGAGGAATAATTATTTCTAGGCCTGTAAACGAATTCGTGAACTGTTCGGTGGGAAGTTCATTTATGTTCGTTTATTTATTAAACGAACAAACATGAACAAGATTTTGTGTTCGTTTAATTAAATGAACGAACATGAACGGAGGGCTCGTTCGTTCATTTATGTTCATGAATGTTCGGTAATATGTTCGTTCATGCTCATTCGTTTATGTTCGTTTGTTTATGTTTGTTTATGTGTGTTTAGCCCAATCTCTCTAGACCCATTTAAAATATTAAAGCCCAATAAATTTTAATCTAATACTCATAAATATTTTAAAATTCAATTAAATTTAAATACAAATAAAAAAGGTCAAAACAATTAAATAAAATATAATCATAAAATTGTTAGGAAATAAAAAAATTCATTTATATTTGTTTACGTTCGTTTATGTTCATTTATTGTGTTCGTTTACGTTTGTTCATTAGTGTTCGTTTACATCCGTTCGTTTATTATGTTTGTTTACATCCGTTCGTTTATGTTCATTCATTTGTGTTCGTTTATCATTTAAATGAACGAACATGAACGAACATGAACAAGCTACATTCCTTAACGAACGAACACGAACAAGCTACATTCCTTAACGAACGAACACAAACAAGAAATTTTTTTTTTCGTTTATGTTCGTGTTTGTTCATTTTTTCGGTTAAAGTTAAACGAGCGAACATGAACATACCCTCATTCGTGTTGGTTCGGTTTGTTCGTGTTGTTTCAGTACGTTTACATGCCTAATCATTACTGGTTGAAAAATCATAGTTGGAGTAATAAAATTATTACTTATTCATATTTGGAGTAAGGTTCGAATTAAAATAATTTTGATAGAAAATTAATTAATATAAGATTTTTCATATCAAATCATCAAAAATAAAAATTAGATGGTAAACTATATTTGAAACCATCCGTAAACAGAAAATTTTAAATCTTGATGTTGAAATCCTGAATCTTTAATTTTGATCTTTTAAATTAGCACAAAATTCTTTTAAGAGACAACACTCTGGCTAATATGAGAATGAGATGTGAGAAAAATTAACCAATGTGTAGTTTGACGACAGTAACTTTAATAAATAACCTAATACATTAACCTCAATTTTCAATCCGTCCATCATTAGTTAGAAACTCATCTACATGTATTGAACCCACCACTTGTTAGGAAACGCACAAGTATTTTACGGAAAACGCTCCTATTAATATGAAGATAAGATACTATTAAAAATTTACTCACGTACAATTTAAAATTCATAACTCCTGTAAATAACCTTGCACGTTCATCTTAATTTTTAATCAATCAATCATAAATTAAAAATTAATTATTTAGATATTCACACATATTTAATCTATATTTTATTTAATAACCTGAATCATCTTAGATCACTTTAATATCATTATATAATAATAAATATCTTATCAATATATATATATATATATATATCTATCCATTAACCCGACGAAATACCTATTTTAACATTATGTTAATCTCTGAACTTCTTTTATTCAAATGGGATGTAAACTAATGAAACAAATGCAGTATATTATTTTTTTTCTTTTTTCACAAAAATATTTTATTTTATTAATAAATCCATATACAGTGGATATAGAATGATCCCCAAAGAGATCAATGCAAGGATCACACGTAAATATTACATAAATAAATTTTACCATCTTAAGAGAATAAACAACCACATAAATAAATATACAATCACAACGATCGAAATGAGCCCAACAAATATGCAACAGATTCATAAAATAGGAAATTTATTAAGTCCCCTCATTGCTGAACAGTCTACTAATCATCAGGATAGGCCTCGATGATGGATGCCAAGGTTGGAATGTCGATGATTTTGTAGCGAGAGAAACCTCCTTGTTCCAAGATTCTCTTCCATTCCAGCTCCGTTCTCTCCTTTCCACCCCTGCAATGTACCATCATCAGGAGGTCGAATACGAATCCCATGTCGTCAAACGTTCCGTTTCCGTCGGGTTTCACAACAGCCTCCACGATGATCACTTTCCCGTTCCCTCTTGGAATTGCTTTCCTGCAATTCCTTAATATTTGTATGCAATCTTCATCACCCCAGTCATGCAATATCCACTGCAAAACAAAAGGCAAAAACAACATTGTCCAAACTCTCTTTCTTCTTATGATCATTAATTTCATGGCGTGATAGCCACAAAAAACCAAATGTTGTGTTAGTTGCTTGAAAATGATTTGTAACCTAAAGAGTTTTACCTTAACATTTTTCTCCACTAATCCTGTCACCTTAAAAAAAATGAGAGTTATATTGGGTCGAATGTAAGACTTATAATATCTCTTAAAAATGGTTTTATACTTCAATCTCCTTAATGGAATAGCGTTAAAAGATCTTTAACCCATATGTAGGTTTGATCTTATTTGACTTCAAATATTATAAAAATCTACATAACCTTCATCTTATTTAACTCTAAATATTGTGGAGAGATGTAAGACTAATTCTTTATGGGTGCATTGGTCCGATATATATGTGTTGAAGGGAAGGTCGTTCATGAAGATTCTCACACCAAAAACTTGTAGTTGGTTTTGGAAGAAACTGCGAAGCCTGGTTGTTCCGTTCGTGGATGGTACTGTTGGATGCTGGGTGCCAAAGGGGAGATGTAGGGTTAAAGATGTCTGGCAGGTAGTTAGGAGGAAGCATGATCGGGTACAATGGGCAAAGTTTATTTGGTTTTGTTCTCTATATTCCTAGGAATGCTACCATTGCTTAGTTTGTACTGTTGGATAGATTATCCACGAGGGATAGGTTGCTAAGGTTGGGTATGGTTGTTTGGGGAGACTGATATTGATGTAGGGGGATCCGAGACAGATGATGCTGAGCTGTCAGATTGCACGTTGATGGCGCTGAGATACCATGAGTTGGCAGATCAGCGCAAAGGCGGGAATTGATTGTGACATGTTCCTCATTGGGGTCGTTTTGAGTATGTTTCAGTCTTTTGGCCATAACTTTGGCTACAGGTGTCAGAATCGCGCATAAGACCCCAATCCGGAAAGCTCTTTTCGACGCGCACGCTCTCCACATGAGCTACGCTCCATGTGGCCTTTTTTCAACCTCAAATTCTGCCGTTTTCCCCTCCGAATCACTAGATTTAGTTATTTTTTACTATTTATGGTAATATTTCGATTGTTAATTAGGAAGTCAATTTAAATCCGATTTAGGCCGGATTTTTGGGAGATTGCTTATTTATTTTATTTCAAATTTCAATTTAGAGTAATTTTCGGGATTTTGCTATTTTTGGCAAAATTCGAATAAAGACGATTTTTTTGCTATAACAGTCCGGCTTGTGGACTGCTTTTTGGAGATTATTGATTTTATAATATTTTATTAAACCCTAGAGACTTTTTTTCTCTGGTTTTTTGGCGAATTTTCTCTTGTGAATCGTCTGTCGGAGCTAGCCTACAGGATAATCACTATTTTATCTGGCGTCAGATATTTTTGGTCTGATGGCTTGGAATTCGGAGATCATCTGTTATGCGAGTATTCGAGGTGGAACGTGTGGAAGGGAATCTTAGAGCTGTGCCAGTTGCCGAGTAGGATTGCAACTTGGGAGCATGAAGTCTCTTGGGCAGTGGCCAATCTAAAAGGTAAGACTCTTCTCTCCAGTTTGTTGAAGGTAGCGCGGAGTGCATTTGTTTGTCATATTTTGGAAGGAGCGGAATAGAAGAGTCTTTGACGGGGCTCAAAAGAATGTAAATGAAGTTATCCGAGAGATAAGGAAGGAAGTCCGATTGAGTTTTTGTCAAGGAAAGGGTGGAGCTAACCGATGCAGGGAATGAGAGCGTTACCACAGAGGGAGTTGGCAACCAAGAAACGGCCACCCAGGACAACCGGATATTGCGCAGAAGCTTGAGAGAAAAATGGACGCCCCAAGCGTTAACCGATTTTGTCTGGTTCAAGGAATCTAAGGATTAAGAATATAAATAAGAGAGCATGTGAAACGTGAATATCTATATATAATCCTGAAATATTTTACAAACTTCTTAATCTACTGCTTATTCTCCTTTTCAATTCCTATATTTTCTTTTCTGGTTACTGGTACATGACAGTTTTATGGGGATATATAAAGCAGGGAGTTAAAAGAACTTTAACTCATAAATAAGATAGTGTTAAAAGAACTTTAACTCATTCGTACCTGCAAATCATAACGTAAAAAAGATAGTGTTTAATATTATATTGTTATTATTTGCAAATTAGGTTAGGAGAGCAGGTTTCAAATTGCGTCTAAAAACGTGATAGCACCCGCGAAATAGCGGTAGCGCCGTCATCCGAATTACTCGCTACACTCGCAATAGCGTCCGCTATGAGCTCAATCACGATAAACACGAAATGACCGAAACCGCGACAGCGATTTGAAAAGTACTCTTCGCCTCTGCAATATCCAATACTAATTAATTGATATTCGGTAATTATACCCAAAAAATTAAAAAATTAAAATCGAGAGCGTACGTAGGATCAGTATCGAATGCTGGTCCCATGATTTAACAACGCACCTCCATAACCTTAAAAAAACAGAAGTACGTACCTTCATAATGACCGCATCAGCATTCGGAATGGCATGAAACATGTTGCCGGCAATATGGCAGACCCCATCGTATGGTGGCGCCGCCGAGACGACATGCTGCAAATCGAAGTTAACACCTTTGATGTGCGGATATGCTTTGACAATCTCAGATGTCAAGCTTCCCGTTCCACCACCAACGTCAACCAATGATCCAATCGAGCTCAACCGTTCTTTGTACCCCGACAAGATTGCTCTGGTGATGACCTTCGATGTACATGTCATACCGTCATTAAAAAGCCGGTTGAATTCGGGGTTCTCCGATGCCAAATCCCACACCTCACGCCCGTGAGCTTTCTTGAAGGCGACGCCACCTTCTTGAACGCATTGGCTAAGGCAGTGCCAAGGAGCCAATAGCAACGGATGGTTCTCCATCAGTATCATTGGCGCCAGGGTTTGCTCCGAGTCGTGTAGGAGCCATCTGGATGAGTGAGTCAGATCGTACACGGGATCTCCACCGTCGGATGGGTGGTGGATGGTGAAAATCTTTCGACGGACTAGCAATCTCATTATTCGAGAAAGGGTGTTGATGTCCGGCGAAGACGTGCTGCTGCCGCCATTAATGCATGAAGCTATTTGTGACAGAGTGATGGCGCCACCGTGAGAGTGTATTATGTCGGCTATGCGGAGTTCGATAGCAGACTTAAGCGCCATTGAATCCACATAGCTGAACATGAACCGCCATATCTCCGCTTGGCCTTGTAGAGTTGCTTCCTCTAATTCTGTTGTTGCCATTTGTCTCTCCTTCTCTAGTGAACTCATTTTCCCTTGAAACAAGTAAACATATAATGGAGTGGAGAGGAGTAAAATTGAAGATTTACTTATATAAATATTGATTTTATGTTTTTATTATTTAAATTTTGGCTTTATTTATATCAAATCCGCATTTTTATTTTTAGTGGTACTTAAAAATTTTAGTGGCTTTCTGCTTCGTAGGAATCGGTGCTAAATTATTGAGACTCAATGCGACAAGCAAGAGGTTGTTAAAAAAATGAAAATATCAACACTAGCATGTAACAATGAAATAATAAAGAAAATAAGAAAAGTTATTATGTTACAGTAGAAGTTATTTCTTTAGAGTAATTTTGTTCATAGTGATGTAACAATCACTACTCATTTACTAATATATTAATTTTCAATAAATAATAAGAAAAATATTAAATTAGTAATTAATAATAATTAATTTACTACACCCAAAAATCAAACTCTAATTATTTTATCCAAAAATTTTGGTGAGCTTAACGAGCAACAAGTCGAATAATAAATTTTTTTAACGATGACGAGTTGAGCAAAAATTTAACAAGTTTAACGAGCAACGAGTCGAGTCGAGTAATAAAAAATTTTAACGAACACGAATCAAGCACTATCAAACTTACAATCGATTTGCTCTATAAACACCTGACAGACACAACCAAACATAGAAAGATTTATTTCATTAATCTTTGCTATTATTTTCAAAGTCTAGATAATCTCGTATAATGAAGTTGTCAACATTTCACAAAAAATCTAAGTCAAATATCGTTTTCGTGGAAAAACTTGGAATCGTAATCTTCAAAAATAATGAAAATAATTATTCTAAACATATAAGAATAGTAGATGAGAATGAACTTCAGGATAAAAAATCTAGAAATGAACAATTTAGAGTTATCAAAGAAAATGAAAAACACGTGGAAGCAAATTCAAGTAGAATAATATGGGAAAAAGTTTATATAAGAAATATTTAAATAAAAAAGTTTCTTTAAATATCTATTTGGGTGTACATATCTATTTTTTCATAATCATGGACCTATATATATATATATATATATATATTGGAAAGATAATAGATTAATTAGATGATATTGACATTAATAATAAATTATATTATTTAATGAATAGACTTATTAATTTTTAGTTTGAAGTTACATCGATTTAATCATATTTATTAACTTTTTAATACTTCTCTTTTTTATAGGTCAAGTGTCTACATCAAATAGTATTAACCTTTCAAATTTTCTTCTATTTTGACAAATCAAATGCAAAAGTATTAACGCATTCGATGGTTGGGACACCTAATATTGTTCGACTCGTTTCCCAATTGGCCATCCTAGGACATCATCTTAAATGTTCAATCTCTTATTATCTCATGAAACTTTGGCTTAAAGATAAACACAATATCTTTGCCTTCTCTTTTCATTTTGTTATGTGCTATTGCTGTGATTTCTTTAAATGATGATAATTAAATATTAAGTTTATTTTAAAATATAACGTCTTGTGCATTACTTTGAAAAGAATTTAGTAGCAGCGTTGAAATCTAAAATACGGATAGGTAATTTAATTCGAATTTGATGAATTTTTATTTGATTCGATTTGGTCATATCAATTTTTCATTTTAAAAAGTTGATTTTAGATCGAATCAAGTCAAATTTTTTAAGAATATAATCAGGTTGGTTTCGATTTTATGGTGAACAAAATTTTACTCGGTCCGACTTGATATTATATTATAAATAGTCTTCATATATGAGATAATACTACATATTGATAGACACTCGCAATCATCGAAGATAAGTTGTAATTGAATTGTAGTAATGTCGTTTTTAATGAAATATTAATATTATATATGTATATATATTTTTATTTTTTATTTTTATGTTCGGCAAAAGAATTTTATTAACATTGAACAAGATCAATCTAAATTATATGCTTCATTAAAAAGCCTCCCTAATCTTAAATTGAGGAAAATAGTACATACATTTCAGACAAACCAAAACTTGCAACAAAATGCAAATTAACTATCCAAACAACCAAACAAATTAAATCGAGAACAAACTTCAACACTTGCTGCACCCACCACTCCTAAACCACATAATGAAGAATCAACAATACACTTCTATACCAGCAATCACACCTGCAATTGAGATAACACTATAAATCGATTAGCACCAAACTATGAAACATCTCCTCTCTCGACACCCCCAAAATATGTTGACCATTAGACCATCTTCATACAGGACCTCGAAACCAGAATGAAAATAACCATATCGATCTGTTAACCGACCATCGATTTCTAATAAAAAAGACCACCGATCGATATGATGATAGAATGGTTTTTGAAACCAAATTAAAACTACCAGCGAGTTAAATTCCACTATCTATATCACCAAACTCACATAACTTGCCTAAGAATACACTTCCAATGCCAATTTAGTGGCAAAAAAATCTCAGTAATGACTTAATTACTAGCATGAACGTATCATGAGAAAATTATTTAAGTCATTTCAAGGTTTTAGGGGGTATTTTAGTCATTTCAACATTCATGGTATTTCATTCCTTTCATCCAATCCAATCTTTCCATTTTATTCAAACTTGTTAATTGTTTCAGTCATTTCGAACAATCTTGACAATAAGAATACTTTCAATAAGTTAGTCTTCGGGTGCTTGCTCTGTAACACCCATCTCCCGTACACTTTTCCGTATACGAGATATACATGTCACATCACTTTTTAAAACAATTTTTATTTATAAACCCGTAATATTTTGTTTTCGAAATTTTTAACTAAAACATTTTACTACCATCATAAAACATTTGTTGAAATATACTACAAAAATTACCACTTTATATATTTTCCAGAGCATTTTTCTTAATTTTGATTACATGCCAGAAATATTCAAAATAAACATGATTGTCCTACCATTACTGATGAGAGTCAATCTTAGATTTATGATAGCTATTACTGTACCCCGTATCTGACTAGTCTTTGCTTTTATCTACGCGTGAAATCAACACACGTTAAGTGTTTACTTAGTGAGACATAATATTATAAAGAAACTAAAATTTATACATACGTATCTCATGACAAATTAAATCACATATTTCATAAGGATCAAATAATCCTTCTCAGTTCAACCAGATTTCTTTTATACACTCATCGAAATTATTCTTAGTAGGTCCAGCCTACCTATCCTTCCGTATATTCTTCCCAATTATTCTTTATTTGCCCTATGTACGTTTAATGAGAAAGTAATACACATGTATTGCACCAAAGTGCCAATTTTTCCTTTATATTTTATAATTATCATGAGTGACACCTTATACACCATTAATATATCGTTATGTATTTTTATTTGTGGCTTTCTTTCATTCCAATTGTGCGTGGTTATACATTTTCATTTATGACATCATTTCATATCAATTAGCACGGGTAAGCAATTAGTCCTTCATCCAACTTGCATTATTGGCATCTTTCTGCCAAATACACCATTAGACATTTAGTCTTTTACCCAAAGGTATTTAACCTTTCATCCAACTGGCATGATTGACACCTTTTTGCTAAAGGCACATTTAGGTTATTACTCTTTTATTTTAGAACATATCCTACTCTAATAATTATTCATATTATCAATTAACTGTTTAATTTCATTATAAATTCTATAGTTTACAACTGTAGTGCCAAAACACTCATTCCCTAAACATTACTATAATTTACATGGGTTGCACCCCCACTACCACTACAGAAATTCATAAACTTATTATAAATTTATTAGTTTTTCAAATAATTCGTATCATCCATAAGGATTAGATATGTCCCTATTATTGAAACCAAACTTCTTTCATACTATTATCATAAACGTCTTTAGTATGTCCAACATACCTTTCTTTCTTATACATTTTTCTTTTTATTTTTCTGTAGCAATTATTCGTTAATTTCATTTATGGCATCCTTTCATGCCTTAATGCATCCTTTCATTCATTTCATTTATGGCATTCTTTCATGCCTTAATGCATCCTTTCATGCATTTCATTTATGGATTCGTTTTAGAGCAGTTCATACTCAAAAACTCATTCTTAATATCCTTTCCATACTTATAATGATAATATATTAAATACTATAAAACATACATTATTTTAAAACGTTCTAATTTAATCAATGTGAATCTTATTCATCTCAAATAATTACAATCAATGTTCTCATCTGGCTTGCCTCGTGATTATATCCAGAACGCAAATCTGATTACTTAGCTACATCACTTTTATCTTTCATTTTGTTTGACTCGGGAGTTTGATTTCGATCTACTCAAGCATCCATTAAAGATACGTACAATATTAAATGTTAGTATATTTCCTAACATTTATACTTTAATAATATTCACAAGTACTATTATTTACATTTCTATAACAATTTCAACATATCTTATAGTTCCAGGCTCAACAGTATCGATACCCCTACATTGGTATTGATACTATATACTATGGTACCGATAACTTTCTCTCAGTATCGATACTACTACACTATGGTACCGATACTCCATTTCAGTATCGATACCCTTTTAACATTCTGTTATCCGTGGTATCGATACTTTCCTTTGTAGTATCGATACCCCATCAATATCGATACCACTTGCATCGGTACCGATACTACTCATCATATTTCTACCCATTTAGGCCTATAGTATCGGTACTATTCTATCAATACCGATACCCTTACCCATATTTTCCATTTTTCAGCCCGATTCTTCCCTAAAATTGGTCAAATTTCTTTAGGTTTACACCTAACAATACTATTAAGCTCTTCTTTACTTATCCTTACTAACTTTCCTTCATTTAGCTTCTTAAAACATTTAAAATCTCCCAAGAACATTTCAATCTAAGAATCACACCACTTTTTCTAACTTGTTTTTACTCATATCTAAAGCTTCTAATCTCTTATTTAGTTTGTTAACAAGTCAAATATACTAATAAACATCATTAAAAACTCATATTCCAACATATCATTCAAAAA